TTATTTATTTTTCTATGGTCCCCTACAGTGGGAATCAGTGGTGGATCTAGGATTTTCAACAAAGGGGGGCACCAATATCTACCAAAATAAAAGGATATAGACGATTTTTTTTAAAAAAAAAACTTCTATTCATAGAGGTAAATTCATAATGTAATAAAAAATTTCGATCATAACAAAGTTCTACTTAAAAAGTAACAATTGTTCTCGTCGAGTTTTCATATTTTGGAATCGGTTTACGATAGCATCTATGCTTACATTCAAAAACAAATTTTTTTCAAGACTAGTAACCAAACAATCATTCAACAACTGATCTCCCATGTTGTTGCGCAATTTGCTTTTAATTTGAGTAATTCCTGAAAAAGCTCTCTCAACACTTGCTGTCGCCACAAGTGTAACACCCTAGAAATTCCTTTCTTTTAAAATACCTATTTTGCCCTGTTTAAAAATTTAAATAGGAATATCTAACATATTACCGCCACCGTGAAAACGGCTAAGGCAACCATCAAAGACACACAGCGGAAGACTAATTTCAAAACCATTCAAAACAAGTCAACTTGAAAAGTCAACCAACGAAAGTAAAGTCAAAACCAAAGTCAAACGAAGTAAAATAAAACCATCCTACAACTTGGAACCATTGTAGGCCCTTATTAAAACCAAACCAACTTTAAAACTTTTGCGTTAGTCATGCATGATAATAATATCATAAATAATTAAGCATTAAACACATCATATACTTATAGAAACTAGCATGATTCGCTCTTCACTCATGCCCATTCATGAATATGCTTCATCACCTGAAAACCTCCTCTCTACTTGTCCCCACTACTCGCCATTAGAAAATGGGTCGTCGTAGGGCCAAAGTAAAGACATGGCCAAACACACAAACACGCACAATCAACAAAGCTGAGTACATAAGCGTAATTAAACACACTAACATGCTTTCACCTATCAACACACACTTACCTCATTGCACCTGTTTACAAGCATACACAACAATCAACAAGACACATTAACTAGACACTAAATAATTCATTTAGCGTTAATTACGCATCGAACGGGTTTTCCAACTATACCTCCCCCAAATAAATTGAGGTTAACTGACACGGGAGCTAACCATGCCAGCAACAAAACCACTCAAAGGTGGCGGAATTCCTGCGCATAATAATAAATAAAAAGGAATGTACAGCGTCCTGTACTCCATTAGAAGTTATGGTTAAATATAAAACCCCATAACTCCCCCCATTATTCATACTCAAGGTATATACATTCCAAGAGTTTTGGTGCGTAATCTCGTTCACTTTACGTTATTTACGCGTTATTGGACTTGGTGATGACTCTCAAAGCATAATAAATCAATCAACAATAATTATTCAATCAACCAAACATACCAATTTAATTCTTGAATTATTAGTGACCACATATTATTTAATGTTGAACCCCTTTTAATTCTACCTCAGTGTCAAAGACACCTTAAACGCATAAAGCGCCAAAAATCCTATCCCTCGGTGTTAAAAACACCTTAAGTGCACAAAAGCACCAACATACAATTTATTCCTCGTGTACATAAACACTTATATAGCTCCTTCCTCATGCTTAAAGCATCAATAAAAATTATTTGAACCATAATAAAATTCCTTTTCAATATTCCTAACATAATTAAAATGTAGTTTAATTAATCATGCATTCTAACATGTCACAAATAAAAGTGTGGTTCAAACACAACATGCCTAAAATATAATTTTCCAATCCATAAACCATCACAAATAATTCATGCTTCACAATTCAATCACCAACACCATTTGTTGATGTTTAAAGGTTTTGATGATGAGGAACTTAAACTACAACAAACTCATTTAATAAAGGTTTTTCAAGTGTTTGTTTAGTTTAGGTGAAATTGATCTTGGAGATGAAAAGTAACTGAAACTAAGAAGACTTGAAGAAGTTCTTTATTCAAGAAGGTTATTCGAAACAGAAGAAGTGTTCCCTCACAGGAACTGAGTTCCCTAACAGGAACGTTCCTTTACAGGAACTTGAAGATGGTTGGCTAAGATCTTTGGAGGAACTTAGTAAGCGTGGAGCCCAAGTAAACCTACCAGTACAGAAGTGCGGCGCAACAATGATTTAGTTAAAGATTTTATCTTCTAGATTCATTGTTAAATATGTTAAGTAGGATATGCATGAAGTCTATTAGAAGCGTGACAAGTTAGCTTGGCAAATAAATTAAAATCGGAAAAGATAAAAGATAGAATTCGAAAAAGATTTTCTTTAAATGTTTATTTCTTAAAATCAGTTTGTTAAAAAGATATTATGCTTTTTAACTAAATCTTTCTATCTTATTTTTCGGAAAAGATTTTCTTCTAAATGATTTACATAAAAACCGTGTATAAAGATAAGTTAAGTTTAACTTATTTATCTTTAAGAAAACTTACTTGCTATACAAGTAATGCTTGTATAAATAGTAGAGAAAAAAAGGAGTTTAGGTTTTTTGTGAGTTTTATGCGTGAAGAATTTACAGAGCTTTAATTGTGTAAGTTTGCCAAGCTTATCATCTTGTCATATTAGTTTCGGGTTTCATGCATAGCTTGCCGATCATATACTAGGTGTCTTTACTTGTAATTGGTTCGGGTTATTTGGGTGAGAGTGTTTTTGTTATCATTGCATACAGAGAGAGAGCTTCTGTTGAGAAGTTGAGAAGATCTGTGCTTAGGGAGTACGAGAGAAAGTCTGAGTGTGGGACTTAGACTGGGTAAAATAGAATCCTATTCCGTAGCAAGTTCGTTCAGGAACTTGTGAGTAGAGGTTTGATTATAATAGGTTGTAACTTGGTGTTTGCCCTATTATAGTGAAATTGTTTGTGTTCGAAATCCCTAAGGTAGGGTCGAGGTTTTACTTCTAGTTGGGCACTAGAAGGTTTCCTCGTAAAATCCTGTGTGCTTTGCAAGTTCCTATTTTATTCTATTTTATATTTGAAAAAGTAGTCACTAGGAACTCACCTACAATTCACCCCCCCCCCCTCTTGTAGTGTTCGTCTCAACTAACACCATTAATTCACAATTCCATACATAAACCTTAGCATGATACTACTTGTAATTGATTGAAATCAAGCCTAGCATGATTCTACATCATCAAAATATTCTAAGTACGCGAACGTACCTCAAATAAGCCCTTAAAGTAGCCGATTACACTACAACAATTCTCGAATTAAGTCTCCTACATAAAGGGACAATAATACTATATTAATTCTCCTTGTATACACAATTTCCAGCAACTTAAATTTACTTTAGACTACTTAAAATAATCTAAAACTTATTTAAAAACCCCTAATTAAACTCATTTTTAATGGGTAATCACACCCTTTTATTAAAATCACAATTATACTACTTTAAATAAAATTCCAGCATTTTAAACTAATCAAAAAACCTTTAAAACTTCATCAAAATACATCTTTATACTTAAATTATCCATAGAAACATTAAATTATCTCTTACCCCTTTTAAACTCAAGGATAAAATTTAAAGCATAAAAAAAACTTCGTTAAAAATCAAAAACTGCCCGAAAATCATATTCTTAAAACGTTGTTTCCACACGAAAAACACTATTTTTTTTATCAAAATCGGAGGAGTTCAGAACCTGATCGGGATTAAAACGGGATTAATATTAACGAACGAAAATCTATTAATTAAAACATGAATTTACGTGTTCAAAATAATATAGAATTAAGTTAAACTAATAAGTAGTTATAATCACCAAAATTTCAAAACGTCATTACTTTAAAAGCCCTAAATCAATTATTCATAAAAATCCTAAAATCATGATTTTCAATAATTAAAAACCCTAGTTTATAAAATTTACAAAATCTAAAAATTATAAAGTTTAATCATCAATATACAATTTGATACTAATTAAATTAATTTCAAACAATAAAATCAAAACCCATAAATCAATAATTATAATTACAAAAATTAATAAAACAAAGGAGAGAGAAAATAAGACTAACCTTTTTGTGTGGGAAATTTTTGGGGATTCATGAGGTATTTATAGAGTAGAGAGTATAGGGTTAAATTTGGGCTTATAAAAATGTGGGATTGAGTTAAGGGATATCTCTTAAGTTATGGGTTTTGGAATGGGTTATTCCAATAAGAGTATGTAGGAATAATTTACATTGCCCAATAATTAATAAATGTTTGGCCCAAAACATATTTTACTTTTATAAAACTTTATATTTAAAATACTTTAACTCTTTAAAATATTTAATTAAAATACTTGAGCCCTTGACAATACATTTTATTAATACTTAAATACTTTATAAAAATACATAAACATACGGGGTATTACAAAAGGGAGAAGCAACACTAACTTCAAAAGCAGGTATACTATCGGATGAGTTTCATTCTTTTGTGTCTCAACAAGTTTCATGGAAAGCTCATTAAGGTTCTTCAAATTCAAAAATCTCTCATCACTTTTTATATCCACAATAAAATTTTTAAGTGAATCTTCCATAAAAGAAATTTCAACACTCGAAAATTCATTGGGATAAAATTTAGCAAGTCGGATCAATTTGTTAATGTCAAAAGAAGAAAATTGGTTAATGGGATTGAAGCAAGACATGCATATAAGTAATTCCTTACTTACCTCATCAAATCGATAATCAAGTTCTTGCAATTGTAGATCAATGACACTTAGAAAAACTTCAACTCGAAAATGGTGAAGATTAGTCGCTTGTGGCTTACCACCACGAAATTGTCGTCTCCCTGGGACAACATACTTTTCCTCCATGTTAGGAATTTCAATGTCATATTTAACCATAAATGTGGTTACTTTTTCCATGTGAGAATCCCAACCATCATCTCGTAACTCTTGTAAATGTCTCTTAGTTACATCAACCATTGTCATTGCATTCACAATATCTTGATCACTTTTTTGTAATGCCATGTTCAACTCATTTGTAATAGAAAATATACTCTTCATCAAATGTGCCACAAAGATAAAATCAAATGTCATCAATAAGTGAGTAAGTGACTCAGCTTTATTCCTATTAACACGATCAGAATAGCTCTAATGTCATCAAGTGACTCAAGAACCGTGGGATACAAATTAAGCACATTCAAAATGGTTCTAAAGTGAGAGTCCCAAATAGTATCGCCGGGTCTACTCAAGCTACGCTCCTGATTTAAACCAGTTTCCGATTCAAGTTCACCCAAAGTTAGTGCCTCCGCAACATGTTCAGCCTGTTTTTGTCGAAGAAATTCTATTCTCTTAGGTGAACCACCCACAAAATTCAATAATGGTGCAAGCACATCAACAAATAGCCACCCACAATCAGCATTTTTCTTAGCTACGGCAACAAGAGTCAATTGGAGTTGATGGACAAAACAATGAACAAAATATGCAGATTCAGATTCACTTTTAATTAAAGTTTTAAGGTCGTTAATTTCACCTTGCATATTGCTGGCACCATCATAACCTTGACCACGAACTTTAGAAAAAGTGAGATAATTCTCCATAAGTAAAGATTCTATAGCAGCTTTTAGTGTCAGAGATTTGGTATCAGCAACATGGATAATACCAAGAAAGCGCTCAGTCACCTCTCCTCTTTTATTTATGTATCGCAAATAAAGAGCCATTTGTTCTTTATCAAATATATCAGCAGACTCATCAGCAAGAATAGCAAAAAAATCACTTCCCAATTCATCAATTATTGCTTTGGTTGTTTCTTTTGCACAAGCATTAATGATGTCTTTTTGAATAGTTTTCTTTGAATATATGCTCTCCTAACAAGATCCCTGTCATCTGGATGAAACTCATATATCTTTTTTCTTAGTCCTGGATCATGAGGAAGATTTAGAACATCAACTACAATTAATCTTTCTTCATCGTTTGGAGCTTCAGTCCTAGGATTTGAACTAGCTCCAATTTCTGCTTCACCTCCTAAATTTTGAGGGCTACTTTCAGTTTCTTGATATGGAGGATTATCAATTGGTTGAGAAATATCATTTTGACTTGCTTGAGAATGGGGAGGATTAGGACTAGAGGTAGCAATAGATTCTTTATGAACTCTTTTGGAAAAAAAACTTGTAATATCTTGTTTTTGTTCTCTTCATACTGTAATTTGAATGAGTATAATTAGATTTTTTTTACAATTACTTTAACAAGATACAATTATTTTGTATAGATTTACAATTAACTGATAATCCCTCAAACAAATTTACTATTTACTAATAGTATAAAGTACCACCGTAACAAATTATTAATATGTGCAATATTCAACAGATTATATAATTCATATCAATTTCAATTATAAAATTTATTAAAATTATCAACATTCAAAAACCAAATCAAGGACAAAAATTAGAACATTAAAGAATAACAAAGGATAATAAGAAAGTAACTGACCTTAATTTGGTAGACGTGACACCCACAAACAAGAAATAATACAAAATTACACAAGAATTCGGCCAATTTTCACTTTCGTCAAAACCTAAAGATTAAAACTATTGAATACGGAGTAATTGCAATTTGCAAACTACTCGTAGTCTCGTATTTTTTTACAGTTGGGACAATGTGTTTTTAGTGTTGTTGGGGACCTTCGGGTATTGGGGTTTGGGGATTTGTACGAGTAGGAATAGTGGGATTTTGGGAAGTAGAAAAATTGGAAACATTAGATTTTAGGTAAATAGGGGTTAGGTGTAGAATCCTAGAAGTAGTAGTATTTCTTTTTTTTTTTTAATTGTACTTTTAAGGTTTTTTTTTATTATTATTTTTATTTTACTTTTTGTCACTTGTCAGAGCCTCAATCAAAAGGTAACTTACTACTTTAATAGAGTAATAGTCATAATCTAATGAGATGTTCTGACGAAAGAATGTGGGGGCACGCTGATCAGAATTTTTTTTTAAGGGTCAATCAGATATTTTTTTAATAAAGGGGGGGCACGTGCCACCCAGGACACTGTGTGGGTCCGTCATTGGTGGGAATTGGCCTGTATGTGGTCTGGTTCAAGGTACTTTTTGGTTATTGGGAGTATTCAAGTTTTTTATACTTGTTGGTTTTATTCGAATTACCCATGTCCAAGGCTAGGTATAGAACAAAGACATGAGTTAAGAATGAGGTATAATCTTTATTATTTATTTTTCTATGGTCCCCTACAGTGGGAATTGGCCCGTATGTGGTCTGGTTCAAGGCATTTTTTGGTTATTGGGAGAATTCAAGTTTTTATACTTGTTGGTTTTATTCGACTTACCCATGTCCAAGGCTAGGTATAGAACAAAGAGCATGACACACTATTGGTTTTGAGTTGAGTAAAGGATTATTATTATTCGAGGTTGAGTTGATAAAGGTTTTTTTTTTCAGAGTACAATGTGTAATGTAGTTTCGAACTACATTGTTTAATTGAGCTAGTATTGTCAATTATTCAATTATACTCTATACTCTGATATGTGATGATTATTACTCAGTTTTTGCTGACGTGTGTATTGTTTTGTTGTGCTATTTGTGTTTGCGGCCATGTCTTTTTCTTATGGTGGCCCTACGACGATGTATTTTGGAATTTGTCCTTAATGGTGAGCAGTCAAGATTTCCTTAGTAGGTTTGATCAAGTGGTCGTAGCTAAAAGAGCTCAAGTGTTTCGATTAGTATAGTGTCATGAGTTTGTAAAGTTGTATAAATAGCCCACCTAGTTTATTGGGTTGTATTATTGGGATTTTGTAAGCCTTAACACTAAATATGGGCACGGGCCGTGTCGGCACGCGGGCGGCACGGGCCCGGCACGATTCTGGCACGGCGGCCCACCTGTGGGCCATGGGCCGTGCCGTGATCAATTTTTTGAAATCGGCACAGGCACGACACGTAGCACGGCGGGCGGCACGGTGGCTGGCACGTGGGCCGGCACGCCGGCACGGCACGACACGTCACGAGGCCCACAAGGCACGACCCGTGCCATATTACCGTTGGAAACTAGCCGTTTTTGGCCGTTTTCCAACATCTATTAACGCCTAGTTTTCCACCCAATTTCCCACCCAAATTCCCTATAAATACCCCATTTCTTCCTCAAAAATTTTCACAGTTCATCAACTCATCTCTTCTCTCTTATTCTCTAATTTTCTTACTCTCAAATTCCTACAATCTTGCTCTCTTTTGTGAAAAGAAAAAAAAATTCCTACTCTCTTATAAATTTTACATTTTTACTATTATTACTTTTATTAGTCTAGTACAAAAAAAAATGTTATATTTACATTCGGAAAATTATAAATTCGGGAAATTATAAGTTCGGGGAATTATAAATTTGGGAAAGCATTGAAGCGTCATTGTAAGATCTAACTCAACTTTATTTTAATTTTTTAATTGTTATTGTTAATGTCATTGTTAATGTTATTGTTGTTATTATTATTATTATTATTATTATTATTATTATTATTATTATTATTATTATTATTATTATTATTATTATTATTATTATTATTATTATTATTATTATTATTATATTCTTGGAACTACTTAATTATATAAAAACTACTTTCTATTTTAATTGTGGGTTATTTGGATTGTTGAAATCTGTCTAAGGCGGGACCTGGGCTCTGGACAACGTCACTCCTAACCTCTCCTACCTGGGATCTCATTGACCCAAGTAATTTACTATTATTATAATTATTTTTAAAAATTTAATTTATATAAAAACTACTTACTAATTCTTATTGTTATTGTTATTGTTATTATTATTATTATTGTTGTTAATTGTTATTATTATTGTTATTGTTACTTTGTTATTGTTATTTGTATTATTATTGTTATTGTTACTTTTATTGTTATTATTATTAATATTAATCATGGCATCAAACCCGAACCCTTCCTCCTCCTCTAGAAAAGCCAAGTCAAAACGTAGGGAATCACTAAACCCAAACACTTCAATGCCTATGCCCCCCTAACATGCCCTTTCCCTCCCCTAACATGCCCTTTCCAAAAACTTCCACCCCTTTCTTTCATCCCCAAAACACGGGAGGGCATGAACAAATGGATGATATGGCTCCTTGGACCCAATTTCAACAAACCCAATTCTCACCTCATTTATACGGATCACAAAATGAATTTCCTTTTCCTCCTCCTTCCCAAGGTAGCCAAACACAAGCCTCCGGGTCGAGTGAACCATCCACCCAAATGCCCAACACCCAAAATCCTAACATATTAGAGTGGTGTACCGAAGAGGAATTTGCTCAAACCAACCGAAAGGGTGAAGTTTGGGCACATTATCAATTGGGTAAAAATGAACAAAAAGCCAAGTGTCGGACTGGTGGTAAAATTTTCTCGGCCGATACCAAGGGAGGGACGGGACACCTTAGTAGACATTCAAAACAATGTGGTGGACCATCTAGTGATCCAACCCAACCCAAGATTTCTCAATTCCATCCACAAGGCTTCATTTACAATTACGAGAGAGATAGGGATGAACTTGGGAGAATGATTATACATGCCGAACAACCTTTTCTTTTCGCCGAAAATGATGCCTTCAACAACTACATTAACCGAGCACTACAACCAAAACACAAAAAAATCTCCCGAAAAATCGTTCGATCTGCTGCCATGAAGAATTATCTAGAGTATAAATTGAAATTAGTAAATGAATTGGCTAATCTTCCTAGTAGAGTTTCTTTAACCGCCGATGCATGGAATGGTGGATACGGACTTCACTATTTATGTGTTACTTGTCATTGGTTAGATAATGAGTGGTTGTTACAAAAACGCATCATTCATTTCAAAATGCTTGAATACCCTCATACCGGTCTTAACATTTCACATAATTTAATGGAAGCCATTGATGCATATAGTCTTAGGGATAAAATCATGTCTATGACTTTCGATAATGCAACTTCTATGACATGTAGTGTGAATTTGGTCAAATCCCAATTGACCGATGTTATATTAGATGGAGATGCACTTCATGTTAGATGCATTTGTCATGTTCTTAACTTGTGTGTGAAGGATGGAACACAAGCAATTGGTCCATTTTATCACAAAATAAGGAATGCTATTATGTCTATTAATAGATCTAACTTGAGATATCAAGAATGGAAAGGTTTTTGCAGGCAACAACGGATAAAGACCATAAAAATAGCACCGGATTGTCCAACTAGGTGGAACTCCACCTATGAAATGTTGAGTCGGGCAATCGAGTACAAGGTTCATTTAACACTTTTTTTATAATATGAAATTTCCACAATGTGCTTTACTAGAAGATGATTGGGTTAATTGTGAAAAATATATGCAGTTTTTACAAAAACTATATGGTATGACACATTGTTTTTCTTCTGTATATAACCCTTGTTCTCATTCTTTTCTTAGCAATGCATGTTTACTTGCACAACTTTTTGCGGAACACCGATCACAACATGATTATCGTGGATATCTTCCATCCATGGAGGAAAAATGGCGTAAATATTACACCGATATTCCTATGATTTATATTTTTGCTTCTATTTTAGATCCTAGGCAAAAATATGATGGCACTTTTTTATTAATTGATATTTATTATAGTAACATGAATTTTGAAGATGATGTTGAAACTTTTAAAAATAAGGTGACTAATGAGTTTTTTCTTTATATAGAGTTTATGAAAGTAAATATGGAACTGTGTCT